CAGGCTGGGGGCAGAGAGCAGGCTCAGCAGCAGTGGTGACCACTGGGGGGCATGGACGGGGTGCGGGGCCGTACTCACGCAGAGCCCCGTCGTGCAGGATGGCCGAGAGGCTGTGGAGGAGGCTGTAGCAGGGCTCAGCCACGGGCGAGGGCCCCGCAGCGTGGAAGGGCTGGGCACAGCGGTACCGCTCGAAGGTCTGCCGGCGCTCCATGGAGCCAGGGTCGCCCGCGATGAACATCTCCAGCGAGGAGTAACGGGGAAGGAGAACCAGCTGCAGGGTCAAGTTGGTGGGATGTCACGCTTGCCTCTCCCCATGTCCCCTGTGGCCACACCCTGCCCCCCAAAAGGGTTGTTGCCCTCTGTCTCAGACGTTTCTCACCGAATCAATGAGCACGCTGGCAGTGGGATCCTGCCGAGCAGTGGCACAGCCCAGCTCCAGACGGATGGTGTAGGAGACACCTCGCTCCAGGCAGACAGGCCAGGGCAGCACCACATACCTGGAGGGGGGCAAAGCAGAGCATGGGCAGCCAGGTGCCTCCCACAAGCCACAATACAGCCTGGGCCAGGTAAGGTGCTCACCTGGCACCGGAGGGGAGGCTGGTGGAGAGCTGGTCGTCGGACGGGATGGTGTTTCCACAAGGGCTGCTGGCTGAGACGGGGCTGGGGCGCAGCACCCTCACCCTCACCTCCTGCCAGGGCTCTGGCTGCTGCCAGCAGAGAAGGAGCTATGCCAAAAAGCCTCCCTAGCCAGCACTCCCCGCCACCACTCCCAATTTGGCAATACATTCCACTGTTAGCATCATCATCCGGTGCTCACCTGGGGCTCGTAGCGGATGATCACGTCGTACTCAGTGGAGAAAGGCACGTCCCTTACATGAAACTCCACCCAGCTGCCCTCTCTCATGTGGGCAAAGCCTGTACCCGTCCACGAAGGTGGGTGGTCTGTGGGAGGTTCACGCTCCACCACTGAGCCCTGGTGCAAGGTGGGGTTGTGAGATGCAACCTTACTTTGACCAGTAGGTACTACTCTGCTGCGCTGCCCCATTGGGACAGAGGCTCCTTCCAGCCTGGGGACCCAGCAAAGAGCCACCTGGTGCCCTGCTCTGCCTGCTGTCCCGCACCAGGGACACCTTCATCCCTTACCTGATGCAGTCGAGCATCCTCAGCCTCGTAGGTGTAATGGTCCAGGTTGATGTGGTAGAAGCCAGGCTCCACCTGGCTGCATTGCCGCCCCACCACGTGGCTCCGGCACCGGCACTGCCCCGTCTCCATGGCACACCTGGTACCCCAGTGGCACCATCAGCCCTGATGCCATTGGGGATCCCCCTCACCCTTCACATCCCCAAGAAGACTCACAAGTTGTCATAGGCACCTCCCACATCACAGTCACATGGTCGGCAGCCTGGGAGGTCGTGGCTTAGGCCCCAGTGCTCAGGCTGCAGAGGGCAAGGATGTCAGGGAGCACCTGACTATGGTGTCATGGCCCCAAGAACTATGCATGGCCCCTGGCACAGCCCCACTCACCAGGCACTGGTCACAGTTGCGCCCGGTCACCAGCCTCTTGCAGAAGCACTCACCGCTGAGGGGGTCACACCGGCTGCCCTCGGCCACCGTGCCACGGGGGTCACACTGGCACCCTGCACAGAGAGGCAGTCGGTGGTGTCCGGCAGTGCTGAGCCATGTGCCCGACGCCGGCGGGTGCCACCCTGGTACCTACGCTGGCAGCCCTGCGGGGTGGCAGCGCTGAGGCCGAAGAAACCGGGTTTGCAGCGGTCACAGCGGGGCCCGGCCACATGCTCCTTGCAGCGGCACTGCCCCGCGATCAGCCCCCGGGCCGGGTCATCAGCGCCATCGCACAGCCCACCATCCAGAGAGCCCTCAGGGTCACAGTCACAGGCTGGAGATACAGGCAAGGTCAGCAGCCCGACCCCCCAGCCCACCCCACGCAGCCTGTGCCATCCCCCCCGGGCACCAACCTCGGCACACGGCAGGGTCCCGCAGGTCCTTGCTGGGG